TTTTGACTGTTGTATTTCTAAATGTATTTTGCATGGGTGTACTTCATAATGCAAGTAATTTTCTCAAACGATTTCTAAATGTCTCATTATTTACTTTGTGTCGACAATATGGTCGAATCTTTTTGTGCACTTCATTTATTGACGTTGTTCCATTTGTTAAATGAAATGTTCAAATAATATACATATACAACAGAATATAAGTTCTAACAAATTGTTAACGTTTAAAACAAAAAAAAAAAAAACTTGAGAAACATATTTAAAAGAGAAAAAATGTTAAAACATGCACTGCACAGCAGATAATTTTTTGCACATATATAGATATATATACATAAACATATATAATATATATTTTTATTGTATACATGCACGAGAAGAAACTACTAAAAATGCTGAAGAGATTTATTGTAAAAGGATGGAGATGCAACAAACAGCCGAGAATTTATTGTGCACGCCAAAATGCACCCCGTTATAACTATGTGCGAATATTACATACATATATTGTCATACACGAAAGTATCTTTGAAATATTTAAATAAAAATATTGTATTTATGCCAACCGATTGTATTTATGTATGTCGTGATATATTCCGATAGAAACAAAACTTAGTATTACTCAAGTATGTAAATCCAGTTTATGTTTTTATTAATACTCTATACATTTGTTCCATATTTTTTCCTTACTGCTGACCTATGTATCCTGCTCAATCATATCCATTAGCTGAAGGAACTGCTGTGATGTTGCATCCACTTCAGCTACAGGCTCCACATATTCCTCGTATTCAACATTGGCGTCATCCTAAAWCATTTAGAAAAATATATATTAAATATATACTTGAAATTGTGTAATTTTCTCACCTCGAAGCCAAAACAATTATTGGCATTGATCTTGGGTTCACGCTTGACCACTACCTCACTATCATCGTGAACCAGCTGGACGACCATAAACTGCTCATCTTCACCTTCAAGTTCTACTGTAAATTCGTTTGCATCCGGCTCTTTCTTGATACGGAACGTGCCGGCTGGAGTGGTTAGTTCGCGGTGCGCACGCGGACCTTTCAATTGCCTATTGATAATGATCGGCTTACTGGATGAGCTCTGCTCTTGATCTCTTACAGCAACAGTTTTGTTGTCCCTTCTTGTCCTCAAAGTGGGTGCAGTAAACGTTTCCTCAATGGGTTCGCTTGGCTCTGGCTCTTCCTCATCAATCTCCTCCAATTCAGTGATCTCGAACTGTTCCTCGATGTCAATGGAAATGGTGTCGCCTTTATCAAAGTCCTGAACGTCGGAGCCATCGACTAAAGTCACAATGCTTCCGTCAGGCTGAAGGCGCACGTTACGCCCAAGTCTTAATTTGAGCTTCTGCTCCTGCGCATTCACCGAATCATCGTGTGTTTCCATGTGACGCATCAGGTTACCCTTATGCGTAAAGACACGCATACAACTGGGACAAGAGTGAACCTTTACACGTGGCTCTGGTGGCTTGTAGTCCTCATTGTGCATCAGGTTGACATGACGACGTAGCAGTTGGCGCTGACGGAACGCCTGGGAGCACAAGTTGCATTTAAACGGCTTCGAGTCGGTGTGTATAAGCATATGCGCGTCCAAATGTCGTTGAGACACTGAAGCATAACTGCAAAGGGTGCAGCGATAGCATTTCTCGCCCTCGTGTGACTTGATGTGCAACTTATACTGATAGCGATCGGGCAGCTCCTGGCCGCAGCGCTTGCACGTATGTGGCTTATCCGAGGTGTGCATATTGGCCATATGAGTACGCAGGTCAGCCTTGCGTCCGCATGTGGTGGGACACAGAGTGCACTGAAATACTGGTTTATCCACCACGCTATGAATAAGTTTGTGTGCCTTGAGCGAGTTTGATTGTGTAAAGCGGGACTTGCAGATATCGCACTGGTACTTCTTCTCGCCAGTATGAATGACCAGATGCCGCTTTAGCTTAAACATATCCTGTGAGGCATATGTACAGTGTGGACACTGATACGGACGCTCGCCCGTATGGCACGTCATGTGACGACGCAGCTTTGTCAGCTCAACGCTTGCATAGCTGCACTCCGTGCATTTGTGCGGCTTTTCCTTGGTGTGCTTATAGCGGGTATGCCTTATAAGCTCTCCGTTCGTAGTGAATGCGCTCTCGCACAGCTTGCACTTGTGAGGTTTGTTCCCCATGTGTGTGTTTAAGTGATTGACTAGCCCCATGTTAGACTTGAAGCCGCGCTCACAAATAGAACACTTGAATGACATTTCCGAGTTATGTGATCGAACATGTCGTGAGATTAGGAATTTCTTATTGGTCGTATAGTTACAGTGGGAGCAGGCGAACTTCTGCGATCCAGCAGAATTAGTAGCCGCCGGCTTTAGTTTGTACTGATTTCCGCTGGGCACGAAATCCACATCCGAATTGGCGGTTATATTAGCAGCATTGTCGTCAAACTCGTAGACCTCTTTGTCCGAATCGTCTTTGGTCGTGTTCAGATCTTCGGTTAGGCTAGTAGCATTCGCAGTGGCAGTTAGCTCTGATTGGTCTCTGGTGACATCACCGACACTCGGATCATCTACGAGTTCTTCGAATTCCATTACCTTCTCTATTACTATTTTAGTCTTCTGCGGCGACTCCGGCTCGGACTTTGCAGATCTAGTTGAAGAACGTAAATATCCTCTAAGTGTGTTAACTGGTGTAGAAGTTGCCATCTTAACTGGTGTTCTTTTTGGCGGTGCGAGTCGTATATTTATTGCTTTGGAACTCTTCTGAGCAGATGTAACAGGCTTCGCAGGTTTCGCAGGTCGCAGACTAATTTCTGCAAAAAAAGGTTATGTATGAACACACGCTTGCGTTGTAGTTTGAGCTATAAAAACCTTTGGACGTTTTGCTGCTGGCGGCACGCGTTGTGCTACGGACTGAAATTTCTTCTTTGTCTGACGTTTTCGATGCTGCTTGTTGTTTCAATTTCTTTTTGAGCAGTTCTTGTTTCCTTGGTGTGGTTTTGATATAACAGTTGCCTTCGTCGTCTATAAAATATTTATCGTCGTCATCATCGTCCTGGTTCTCTTCCTGTTGTTCCAATTCAGCATCATCATCTGCTTTGACTTCTTTGTCATCAACATTGCCATCTTCTATTTCTTTGTGAAAATTCCTCAGATATGTTTGCAAATCCTCCGAATTGGAGCCGCGCGTGCGTTTTGACATTCTGACTGCAAGCAATAACCACTTTTATAAGTTAGCGCCAAAAAAAAAAGTAGCTAATAGCGACCTACAGCGGACATAAAGCATCCAGCGACACCAAGCGGCTATTGATTTCTCGCACTCCCAAACGTTGCTTGACAAGCAACTCTACGAGAATCTGTAGCTTTATGGCATTACTTACCTGTACTAATAATGTTTCTAAATAAAGCAATCCAATGTACACCTTGAATCTGCTAGTTAATCTGTTGTTAATAGTAAACTTAGTTTTTAGTGCAAAGAATTTCCGTCAGAGGCGAAACAACAGCAGCTGCGCAAAAGATGGCGGAATGGCTTTGGCGTTGCCACCGGTTGACACTGGTTTCTAACAGTGCCATTTTGAGTATTACATAGTTTCAACGATTTAATCATAGTTGGCTTGGCGCGCAAACAAAAGTTGAAATAAAAACAGCGTACAGTTATCATTTTTATTTTATTTATTAATTTTCGACTGTCAGTTTATTGACTTTTCGGACAAAGTCGTTGAATATTCCACAATCAAAAATATTTGAATAAATATAACCCAAAACAAATTTTATTTGGCTTTATTATAAATTACAATTTGTGGATTTTTTTAAATGTCCAATAATCTTACGATTCTAATGTTCAAATTCAATGTAAAACTTAGTTTGCATAAATCTTACCCACGTACATTGTTAAAGTGTCTCACAAAACTGATGTATCTTTATATTTATTCCTAATCTTCATTCCCATACTAAAAATCAACGTCTCAATAAAAGCTGTTTAAAAGAAACAATGGAATTGCTACCCAATTACTTTTGAACGTTATARTTATTACAAATTAGTTTTTTTTTTTTTTTTATGTATATTTTAATCATAAGATGTTGCCCGAATACTCACTTACTAAGCCAGTAGTTGGGTTAGCCCGCATCAATCATATTTCTGTGTAATTTAGGTATAACTACTTTAGTATGAGAAAGAGATTAAGTTAAATATGCGTTTGGGTGGTTTTGTAACTACATATATATATGTATGAACCGCTACGGGAGATTGCATTACAGAGTTTGATTCGTTGATTTTGGAAAACAATACGTACGTTAAGAAGTCTTCATCGAACCCTACGGAATCAACACAATCCTTTAACAGCTGCTGTAGCTTGGGCATACGTACCAATATTTGTTGCTAATTCATGTTCTAACGATTTCATAACAAAACGCATGTATACATACCAAACAAACAACCACTCCCAATGAACAGATAGACGACGAATACGTACCCAAAGCAACGAACCGAACCATATGTATGTACATATATCTGGTATATGTCTATCAAATACTCAAATCTGCAATTAGCGAGATCTGTAGCTTTTCAAAAAGGCTACGACAGACGTTTGTGTTTTGTCAATATGCACTCGATACGTACCCAGCTTTACGGCTTTTGAGCTGCAAGGTTACTTCAAGTAGAAAAACGCTAAAAGGTTACAATTTATAGTTTGTTGATAGAGTGAGGCTTACCCTAAAAGGGGCGACAATACTCGTAGGAGGTACACACATACACACCACTCGGGGACGGGCACACCCACAGTCCGGGACTGTGCTGTTAGAAATTATGATTGAGCTCAGTTTTGGATTCTATGTTGAATTTTTTGTTTTTTTGTTTGTCTTTCGTTTTGTTTGTTTGGAATTCGTTGCTGGGCACATAGATATATATATATATAGAATTGTACATTTTAGTGTGGTTACTCGGGACTTTGGTTCTACGTACCGTACATTTACTCAAACTCAACTCAGGTCGGGCTGTCAAACTATTAAATTATAGTTATTTACTTAACAATTCATATAGTTGCAGCTCACACTTTTTGTTTCGCTTTTCTGTTAGTTAACACTGATGAGAGTCAAAGATAAGAATTAATAATATTTTACAAAAATATCTGACTTGCTGTCTAAGTGTGTATTTAAGTCATTTATTAATTAAATAATAATGCAATTAGTTAGTTTCTCCTGCTCTATAGTATTTTTTTTTATGGTTTTTGTTTTTGTTTACTTTTGTGGTGGTTATTTATGCTACGTACGTGCGCTGGACACTGCCGTGTGGAACTGGCTTCCACTGGATCTTCATGTTAACTTCGACACATCGGCATTTCTAGCGGCGATAGCGTTCGCGGGAGAAGGAGCGGCGCCTGTTGCCGAAATTGTTGTTGTTGTTGTAGTTRCGGCGATCTCGTGGCGAACGCTCTCTCGAACGTGATCGACGTCTTTCATTGCGACGGTCTCCACCGCCTCCGCTTCCTCCTCCTCCACCATTTCCTCCATAGCGTCCTCTGTCATTCCGCATGTTGCGGTCTCGGTCCCTTCGATCACGCTGATCTCTATCGCGATGATCGCGAGCATTGTTGTCGGGGCCACCACTTGCCCCTCCGCGTCCAGATCCACGGTTGTCAATATCACGTCCCCGCGGCGCTGCTCGCTCACTCTCGGCCTCTCGGGCATTGGCCCTCTCCTCGCTTCTATCCTTCGATCTATCATTGCCTTGTTTCTCTGCTTCACGCTGTCGCTGACGCTCTCTTGAACGAGAGCGATGAACGCGCGAGCGACGGTCCAGCTCGCGCCCACCTACAAAGTACCGATTTCTGCCTCGGCCGTCCTCTTCTCGATCTGGTATCTTACCCGAGCGCTTTAGTTCTGCCTTTCGCGGTGCCGCCGTCTTCTCCAGCTCGATAAGTTTCTCGCGAATTGTGAGAAAGCCTAGATGCAACTTACCACCAAAGTGGTCCGCCAGACGGATATCATTGTCGTGTATGCCCAGGTAAGCGGAGCACACTTCACATACGCGGAGCTTCTGTTGCTGGTATGTGGAGGCTGGCATTGAAGTTCTATATTCATGCTCTGCTTTGACCTTTTTGGCGCGCAGCTCGTCAATTTCCTTCATTAGTTCCATGCTGTCTTCTACTTCGCCAGCTTCTCCCAGTGCCTCGGCCTTTGCCAGCTTTTTTCCGATTTCTTCCGCCAGGCTGTGAACCGCGTTGGCTTTCTCGGCTACTTCTGCTGTCAGCTCCTCCTGCGTTTCTTTTAACCGCTGTTTGGCGGAGTCTGTGCGTCGATCGCAGTCCGCAATGAACGCTTGCAAATGCTCCATAGCCTCGATGTCGTAGTAGTAGTCACGAGTCTTGGACGCACTTTCGTAATCTGCACGAAAAGCCAGATCATGCACTTTGGGACACTCACCGAGATCCATGCGGGTGGATGCCAGAATGTCGTGCGGGCAGCAATCCAAGAGAAATGACTTGCAGACGCGTGCATCTGAGAATTTAAGGCCGCGTCCATCGTCTCCGTTTCGCGTGGTGCCCATCAGTTGATCCAGCATTGCACGCATCTGGTCTGTTGCTGACATTTTATTGCTCGGCGCGCTCATTATGCAGGCCGGTTTTAATAGTCTCAATTTCCTTTTTTCAACTTTACTTTTACTAGTGAAAAATAATAAGCAGAGTTGTTCGGAGTTCGGAGAAAAGTTCGATTGACCGGTTCACAATACTGAACGGAAAAAATAAGTCAGTTCTGAACTCAGTTTTCAGTTCACAATTTTCTGCCACCTTGTCACTGCTTACGCTATGTTATTAACATTAACGCCAACTGTTATTTTCTGCTGTTTTGAAAACATTACCCAAAATATTTTGTAAAATTTTAGATGCTAATGAATTATACATTTTCCATTAAAGAGTAATTTTGCAGTATATGGCTAAGTTATTTTCGTGTGTGTTAAGAAAATATTAAATGAAATTAACATAACAGAATGAATGTAGTCCATGACTGCATCCCAACAGCCATCGATATTTGTATGTCATCCCTATAAAACATACATTTTCTATTTCGATATATCGATGCGATAAACGTTTGCAGTGGCTTTTTGTTGTTTATTTCGTTGGCGTAATTTTTGTTTTAAAAATTAATTATTTTGGATTAAAAGATAATGTCAGATGACGATGATATCCAGTACATAAAGCGACAGCGTACCCTGCATTATGGCTCGCTGGAAGAAACAGAACGCAAGCGGCAAACTGGCGTGGCGTCTTCTGTTACCGGCACAACGCCGGCTGCAACAACAACTGCCGCCCAGCTGGAAGACATTGATTCTGACGAGGACTATGAGGAGACTAACAAAAAGTCCAATGCCACAAAAGTTGGCATGCCACCGCCCACTGCAGCGTCGTTGGCCAACAAAATTGACGATGATTACTTCGATTTGGAGACCGAGATGGAGCGCGACAAGGTGGCGTTGCTAGAGGAGTTCGAGCGAAAAAAACGAGCACGACAAATAAATGTATCCACAGACGATGCCGAGATCAAAAACAATTTGCGACAATTAAACGAGCCAATTTGCTATTTCGGTGAGGGTCCAGCGGAACGACGTCGACGACTTAAGGAGCTGCTCGCCAGTTTGGGTGAAAACGCTATCAAGCAGAAGCAGACCGAGGAGGAGGAGCGTAAGCTGCAACAACGTGAACAGGAAGCCACATGGTATCACGAGGGACCCGAAACACTGCGTGTGGCACGCCTTTGGCTCGCGGACTATTCCCTGCCACGTGCTCGCGATCGCCTTGAGCGCGCTAGGCAGGCATTAGAAGTGCCCAGCGCGACGCGAGCCGGTCGTATGGTGGAGATGCAAAAGAAGCTACAGTCATTGGCACCGCTCTGCTCCCAGGTGGGAGACACGCGGCCCGTAAGTAGTGCAGCCTTCAACGAGGACTCTTCGCTGCTGATGACTGCCTCGTGGTCGGGCCTATGTAAGCTCTGGAGTGTACCCAACTGCGAGTTGAAGCAAACGATGCGGGGCCACGCCAGCTATGTGGGTGGCGTAGCGCTCAGGCCTGGAGTAAAGCTGGATGAAGAAAATGTTGTGGCCATGGCTTCGGGCGGCCACGATGGCGCTGTCAAATTGTGGGGGTTTGGCAACGAAGAATCCATTGCTGACATAACTGGCCACATGCCACATCGCGTGTCCAAGGTAGCATTCCACCCATCGGGCCGCTTTCTTGCGACAGCCTGCTACGATTCGTCTTGGCGTTTGTGGGATCTGGAACAAAAGACAGAGGTCCTACATCAGGAGGGACACGCTAAGCCGGTGCATTGCCTCAGCTACCAGTCCGATGGCAGTGTTCTGGTGACCGGCGGCTTGGATGCCTTCGGCCGTGTCTGGGATCTGCGCACGGGCCGTTGTATCATGTTCCTTGAGGGCCACTTGGGGGCTATATTCGGCGTAGACTTTTCGCCCAATGGCTTTCATATAGCCACCGGCTCGCAGGACAACACCTGTAAAATCTGGGACTTACGTCGTCGTCAGCCCGTTTACACCATACCAGCGCACACAAATCTCATTTCGGATGTTAAGTACCAGCAGGATGGCGGTAGCTTCTTGGTTACCTGCTCCTACGATTCGACCACAAAGATCTGGTCTAACAAAACATGGCAGCCGCTGAAGACACTGCAGGGGCACGACAATAAGGTGATTTCCGTTGATGTCTCCCCCAATTCGCAGTATATAGCGACAACATCGTTCGATCGCACCTTCAAGCTGTGGGCGCCAGATAGTTGATTTTCATACACTCATATAAACATCGGCTGCTTATACATCCGATTTGTTATAAGCTCAATTTGTATTTAACTGTTTTTCGTTGAAACACAATAGCCCAAACGTTTTCTTTCATATTTCACATTTCAGTTTTTATAACACAATTTGTTATTTTAGTTAGGCGAAACAATGCATTTCGTACATATAAGACTTTTGTATAGAAATTGTTAATAAAAAACTACATTTTGGTATAAAAGATATTCCAGCATTCAAACTTCATAATTGGAGTTAATTCTGACACTAGATTTGAATTAATGTGCCTCAAATCTAGTGTCAGAATTAACTCCAATTATGAACATTTATATTAAGAAGATTGCATAGATGGCGCTAAAGATGACGGTGATACTGCCATCTAGTGGGACTACAGTTAAAAATACTGAGAATAGCTGTGTGCCTCAAATCTCACTAGGTGTCGCTTTTCAACGAATTGTCTTTCCAATAGAGGTACTCTCTTAATTCGCTTGGTTTAAGAACTGACTAAATGGGAAATTATTATAAAAATTCTCATGAAGTGTTCTCAGTATTCTAATGTAAGGCACGAGATGGCGCTAATTCGAAATTTCGTGTGTTGCCACACTGTAAAAAAGTAGAATATTAAACAAGCACGATTTAAGATAAGAATCATAAAGTTAGTAGTTAAATATCTGAAAAACATTTTTCGCTTTGTGCTAGAATCTTAATTGTAGCTGTTTACCTTTAATTCGGCTACTTAAAAAGCAGTTTCGACAACATAAAGAAACTAGATCATTAAAAATAGGTTTGCATATGATTACCCAATCAGGTTTAATTTCAATGCTTAATGAAGATGAAAGCGTTAAAAAATAAACAGAAAATATTGACACGTTGCATTATGGAATTGTATATTTCTTTGAATTGAGCTATTAACGCAATCGCAATTGTGCTTGGCTTAGCCGCTAATTGAATAGGCAATACCGCGGGCAGCATTGCAATATTTATATTTGTTATTGTTTGCTAAACTCGTCTTTATGCAAATCAGGCAGAAAATGTTTGAATTTAGCGCCAATCGCTGGAACAAGTTTTAGCTTATATTGCGGACGGCTTTGTTTTTGTTTGTTTTTTTTTTGTTTTTTTTTTTTTTTTTTTTTTTTTTTTGAGCACAGGCCACGACCTAAACAGAGTTGTTCAAAGTTTTCAGCTGGCATTTGTTTGATCTCATTTGATTTTCTTTGTCTTTTTTGTATCTTTATGCAATTGCAGTCGAGCAACAGGTGCGCTTTTTGCACTTTGCTGATAAAGGCCAAAAAATGTTGCCCATTCAGAAGGAGACAAGCGCGCATGCATAATTAAGCAGCGCGTGTGAAAAATGCAGAATAGCCAATGCGCGACCAATCCGAAAGACTATTAAACAGATTACATGGCTGGCACTGAAAGCCGTTTAAGCCCGACGACATCCGCGATAACAGCAACCAGTCGAAAGTGCAATGAGACAGCCGACAACACGGCGCAACCAACAAGAGCATGCAATAACACAGCTACCAGACAAACAGATGAATACCCATGCGGCATGCGGCCAACAGACAAAATAGAGTGTGAGAGTGAGATAAAGAGAGAGAGAGGGAGAGTAAGCGTAGAACTCCCTGCAACTTGTTCAGTGTGTCCGCAGTCCAGGACACACATGCTTGTTTAAACGATTGGCAGCCGGCAAACAAACCAGTGGCCGACACAGACACCGGCTCAAAGCTGACAACGGGCGCAGCAGCCACTGCAACAAGCAAGCGAACAACTGGCCGAGATATTCCATTCATCTGCTCGACTTGCAGATGCCGTGCAGCAGCACTCGTGCCGTAGACATTCATATCTGTTAGCATCTGCGTTTACCTGTTGCTGCCCACCAGGATAGCTTACAGTCAATAATACAGCCATAAGCTAACATTGTATATGTCTTCGCATAGTAGTCAATATACCCTTGCCACACACTGCAACCGGTTGCAGGGTATAATAACGCGGGTCCGCGATAAAAGAGGCGCTCTTCAAAATAAAGTTTTTCTGCTGTACGTATACGTAATGTCGTGTTGATAACGCATGCAACATTCCCAAACATACACACCCACATACACACACACACACACACACACACACACACACACACACACACACGATGGCCGGCAATGTTACGCATACGGCACGTGTGATGCAGTCGTTGCTGCTGGCGCCAATGCCGAGCCCGCGGCGAGCGTCAGTTGCCGGCTTACGCTTACTCAAACACACACTCTCTCTATCGCTGTCTCTCTCACTCTCTTTGATGCTTCTTGTGCTGGCTGGCGTCAACAACTTGTATGAATGTGTTTTCTATTTTCCGGCATTTTTGCCTTTTAACGCCAGAGTCTATGTAAGGGCCTACTCTGAGGTCCCTCCCCTCCCCCCACTCGTTGCAGCTTTGTTTTTGCAATTTGTATCAACTGCTTTTCAAATTATTTATAGAATTTCAAATGAAACACAGGTGCGCCGGTGATGTTCTACATGAACACACGCACACACACATATCTACCTATATATAATCAGATAGTAATATGTAGTTGCTGTGCCTCAAAAATTATGCTCAGCTTTATTGGTAGCCAGTTTTGTATAAATATTTAAGGCCACATGCGAGGCACCTGTGGGAGTGACCCAACTGTGCGCGAGTTGTGAAGTAGTTGAGGCGCCTCCCTTAAGGTAGAAATTGGATCTGCTTGCAGGCCAGCTACACTCTCTCCAACGGAGTTGGTGCTTCGGTATTTCCTTGCCTCTTTTAACTCTGCAAAACTAATTCCCTAATCACACACACACACACACACACACACTCATACATACGCATATATACTTATATTTTTATTAATGAAATGATTATAAGTATTTGCATATATGTATTTATGTTGTAAGTTTATCAACGTACACAGTGCGCTTCAAAAATCTCTGCTGGGAATACGCCGAACGCCGACGTCAATGTTGGCGTCGGCGTCGGCGTCGCGTCAGCTTCGCTGCGACGCTGCTACACGCCTGCTTTGCCTGCCTCAGTCAGTCAGTCTGTGTTGTGAACTTCAGCCGGTCGCTTCGTCGTAGGCGGGCACTCACTGAACGCGAGCTTTTGGTGCCAACGGCTTTTACGCGTGCGTTCCTTAATATATTTTGGTTTCTCTGCTTTGGCTTGTGCGCGTTGTTGATACGAAAAATACGAAAATTCAAAATAATAAAAGAAAGAAAAGCAAACAAAACAAAAAATATAAAATTTAGCATAATATTACGTTTACGTTTTCGCTTGAATAGTTGCAGTGTGTGAGTGTGTATGCGTGTGTGTGTGTGTGTGTGATTTCTTGCCGGCTTTTGCTGATTGTTGTTGTCCGTTAGTTTGCGATATTTTATGTTGCTTTTTTTTCATGTCGCGCTGCTCTTTGTTTCAATATATTGTCGTCAATATTCTCTTCAATTGTTGCATTTCTTCTTTTGTTTTAGTTCTGCAACAAAACGCATAAATTATATATTTGATTTCAATGAACTGGCTGCAATGCCATTTCCGTGAACTGTCTCACCGATCACAATTTGTGCAAGAGTGTGCATGTGTGTGTGTCTGTGTGTGTGTCAAGTGTCGCATTCGCTTGTGTGAAATATTTGAAGGCCGGCGACTGATTTTATCATTTAATAATCTTGTCAATTCGCAGCAGCGTCTGCCATGTGAAGTGAACTAAGGCGACTAACTAATGCAAAGTAAAACAAATATTCGTTAAATGCAAATGAAATAATCAAGTTCGAGTCAACACACACAGACATTGTCAGCGCGACATCCGCATTCAGAGATCGGAAGAAATCGGAAGGCGCTGCTGCTGCCCAAAACTATGCAGCATTAGGCTCAATACCAGAGTCCACGAGCTACCCACACATTCATACATATATAGCTATATATCTTGACGCTGAGGTAAGTCAATAATAGATCAGTCGATTCTTTTGTATAGATTACCTTTGCGAGGAATTTTTGATCACGTAATTGAGCTCATAAATGTATTACGCAAGTATCAAAAAGCACTTGAAGTCGAATCACAAAATCGCTTTACGATCCATTTTTATATTCACATATTTGTATTCCCCTATTGTCTTCGACTTTGTCTGCGATAATTGATATTTACCTACAAAATGTTGTGCGCAGATTTTATTTTCTTTGCTCATGCACATTTTACTTAAATATATATATATTTAAGTATATGAATAGGGAAGGCAGCTGCAGCATCTTTAGCTGATTTCGCACACTCCTATCAATCCATTCATTCATTCATTCATGCCAACTGCGCGTGTATGTGTGTGTGTGTGTGTGTCTGGATAGATAGGGAAGGGCAGCATCAGCAAAGAGACAAAGACAAACAAAATATTGTGAGCGACAACGAGTTGAAAACAAATTATGCATATATGCGCGGCTTATTTTAAAGTACATATTTACATATGAATGCGGCTAAACGATACAGCTCTAAAATACCCTCTATATAAGTCAAATCAATAACCAACTGGCCCATCATTGTGTCTGCTCATTATTCATTGAGTCCGATTGCCTGACAAGTGTGCCAGTCACTTTTGTTATAAATTGATCTCTTTAATTTCCTGCTGACTGTGTTGACTGCCTGCACGGCATATACCCCTCGTCAGGCCTGTCCACTTAGAGGGTATGGGGGAACTAGCGTATCGGATGCGAGTGCGACGGATGCTCGTAACTGTGATTTTACGAAATCTAAAACGATTTACCCTATACACAACTACATACATACATACATACATATGTACTTCTTGTTTGCATATGAATATCTGCTTTCAGTTGTTTTTCTGCTTTTAATGTGCCAATTGCTTGCTGCTTTCGGTTTCTCCTCGATTTGCAGTTAGAGTTTTGCATCTTGCCATTAGACTTGGCTCCATCTATCTGTGTTTCGTCTAAGGCTAGGCTAGGTGCTACTCGCAGCAGCAGCAGCAGCAGCAGCAGCAGCAGGAGGTACTAAACGCACTCAGTAAACAGAGTTCGACTTGTTATTTTTGCCTAACTTTAAGTTGAAGTGTCACTCATGAACTTATCGATTTGGCATAGCTGTTCACACACACATATGCACACCTACCAATATATTAGTTTATGTGTCTGTCTTGTCAAAACGATAATTAGTCTATGCACAGCGCACAAAATTAT